GAGGTCGTGTTCTTTCATGGGCATTATGACAAAACATAAGAAGGAGTGTATCTATGTTTCAAAATTCACTACAACATTCAAATTCCTCAAAAGATGAGGCTAAAGAGTCCAGTACAAAAGTGTCAACTTCAAGAAAGTACAAAACAGTTTTGATCCCAGGTCTTTAAGGAGAATACACTAACTTTGAGGCGATTTAAACAATTTAATGGCCAGAATACCTACAATATATTCCATCTTAATCGGATGCATAAGCGAAGAGGAGGGGGTTGCCTTGCTCGTTACACGACAAAAAAGAATTGCCACGTCGTCCCTGAATTGAGTAAGATAGCAGATGATTATGAAATACTTACAGCCCAGTTTAAGGATGAACTTATCTCGGTAATTACCGACCGCCAAACGGAAGCATGGCAATTTTCATGCAATTTTACGAGAACTTCTTGGAGTATGCTTGTTGTAATAATTTCCTCCATATTTCTGCAGGAGATTTTAATAACCTACTGGAGGAAAACTGTGTCACCTGCGAGATAAATAACCTTTTACTCTTCAGTGGATTAAAAAAATCTAATTAATACACCAACACGAATTACATGCTCCACTGCATCAGCGCTGGATCTTGTCATTACCATTGACACAGTAATTTGACACAGTAAGTATGCGGATAGTGCACGTGATGCGTTCATTCATATTTTGCAACAATATTGCACAAAACATTTTCCTTTCAAAATATTAAAACCAGCAAGAAAGGCAAGGAAGCCCTGGGTCACTCGCGAGCATTTGACAATAATACAGCATAAGAACATATGTTATCACACTTTTTACGTAATGCTCTGCTGAAACTTTGAATAAATTTAAAAAGCTTCGAAACAGATTAAATGCCGAACTTCAACATGCCCAGAAAGCCTACTATCAGCGTATTTTCGAATATACCAATCAGTAGCGTTCAAGTGCAACATGAAAACTAATTATTGCCATACTTAATCGCAATAATAAAAATGCTTTGCCTGAGTCTATAACCTTTGGGGGTAAAGATTTAAGTGGCCCAGCACTTGCAAATCATTTTAATAACTACATCATAAATGCAGTTGCGTTGTGCAATGATAACGCGCATTTTGTTGCTGGATGCAGTAACATGAGGCAAAGTATCTTTCTCGACCCACTAGACGAAAGTGAAGGTCACCTCACCCAAAGTCATCTGAGAACTTCTGATAATTCAAACAAAATTCAAGGTCCCTTTAAAAAAATGCAATTTTCGAGGCCACCGCAATGCTCAAAACACGTGCAAAAGCCAAAATCAAGCCAAACTTCGCGCGCGCCATTTCGAGACCATGCGGCCATCTCGCGCCATCTTGGTCTTGTTTTGACCATGAGTTTTTTCTCTCTCATTTCTCGCCTTTCAAAATGGCATCAACAGCATGGTTGAGACACTATTAGCTTTTTCCCAGGATGCAATGTGGAACGATAATTGGCTAGAGCACCTCATTCATATCTCGTTGACGAAAGCGCGCCTGCCATTGGATGTTGCCCTGGAAGCGAGGGCAGTCCCTCCCGGCACGTCCGGTGCGCTCGTCTCGCTGTTGCTTTCTGCTCCGTCTGCCTCAACAGACGTCTGCTTACGAGCTGCTTTTTACCTTGCGGTGTATTTTCGATTAGTTTCTATTCTTTTTTTTTCTTTTCGCACAAGTTCTGTGCTTTTTATCTTTGTTGCTGTGCGTGATGACGGCAACGAAGACGATGCGCAAGTTCGAAGCACGGAAACGCAATTCCGCTTTTCTACTGGAAGTGCCCAGTGCATGGATGCTTGCAGCAATGGGACTGTGCTGTCGGCTGCCACCAGTCCAGAATCCGCACACCCTGTGTACTTGGAGCCGCGAATGCATCGAGCGTGTCCAAGATCGCTGGATCCAGCATGTGTGCTGAATCGGTGCCATCGAGCGTGCGTGGGCCCTTGACCCTTCATCTGCGCGAGCATTTCCTAACTAAAGAAGAAATTGATGCAAGACGTCGAGATGCTGTTTGCGCTTAACTCGAATCTACGCTAGTGACGTGGGAAAAATTCGAAGTTATGCACCTGGCTCTTGCACCTCCAGTGAACATTCCTCGCTCATCCAAATTAACATCTTTAACGTTCCGAACGTCACTTAGGGAAGATGGAGGGAGGACAATAGAGGAAAAGAGTGCACAAGGACACCTCATGTGACTCTGCCGGAGCTTTTTGAGGAAAACACCATGTGCTCAAAGCCAGTTTTCTCAAAATGAATTTTTTTAGCTAGTGGTGGTGCTGAGGAAAGCGATTCCTCAAAAACTTATTATCAGATTTGTGTGCCGTTTTTGTTATTCTGTTCCTCAATAATTTTGCCAGGGTCTAACAAGCTTCTGTTTTTTTAATTTGTGCCATTAATAATTATTAAACAATTATTTTTCATAAATGTCATCAGTACTAGTTACATCGAATTCAAATCCAAAGTTGCATACATTTTTTAAGGGAAAAAACGGCTCTTTAGTGCCCTAGGATATCTATCCAGGGATGACCACAAATAATTTCAGCCTTTTGGTATGTCCTGGGATTTCATCCTGCTCTTCCTCAGGCAGACAAGTGAACATTTCAGTTAGACCTAAGTAACTCTAGAACCGCTGAACACAACTTCATGAAACTTTGCAGTTTCTTTAGTTTTAATGTAGTGAGCATACTCTGAAAGTTTCATTAAGATATCTTAAACAATAAAAAACTTCGACTTCTGGGGTAGCCTCCCCCCTTGACTAAAACTAGAATATATCATTGCGAAGAATGTTCTTACAAGCAAAAAATCAGTGAAAACCTCCAGGCCCACTTATGCCTGTTGCTACACACATACGGGCGACATTGTGAATGGGAGATCAAGTGACTCGTCACAGTTACATGACGCAAACTTAAATCTGTACCCTATGCTGTGAAAAAACATCTGGCTCACATAGCTCTAGCAAGCCTTATTTATCTACAGATCGGCACTGCTTTCTTAGTATATTAGAAAATTTGTTTCAGGTCTCCTCTAGATTTCTCACTGCAAGTGACTGCAAACTGAAATGACATACATGTAGGAACAAAAATCTTGGATGTGATGCAGCACCAGAATACAAAATTTCATTGAAACTGCTTCAAGCGAAGGGCACACCGAAAAACTCATTTTGCTTGCACTGGTATCTGAGGAAGCCACATTATAAAGAGATGTCCACCTGTTCAGCACAAGAACGTTCTAGTGGCCGTAATGTGCTCACACACACTCTTACCATCAAGATTTACTGTCAGCTCTGCATACCTGAAAATTTGTACACTTCTTCCACCTACTGAGATAGAACACTACAAGTCCCAGCCTACAGGTACCAGGATCCTGTACTGTGACAATGTGCACTATTCAAGCATGAGCAGTACAGGCAAGATGCTCAGATGATCACCATATTTTGGTGATCCCCAATCGTTCATCACAAAGGCAATGCGGATGAGCAGAAGCTGGAGGACCTCATGTAACGACACGATGTGCTACAGGTTGCTTGGGTAGCAACATCGGGTTAAAGGTTTGGTCATCTCAGCTAACTCAGTGGGAATGTTTCGAAGGGAGCAATGAAAGTAAGAGTGCAGGTATCGGTGAAGTAAAAAAAAAACTGTGACATATGAACGAGTGTTCCTTAATGAAATCATGTCACCGCATGCTGACATCCAAGATGTGATATGACAGGAAGTCAGAACCAATAATGGGATATGTTATGTCAGTAATGACGACGACCCACTGAAATGTCTTCTATAATATCAGGTGTGTGGTCAAGGAATGAACACTGTATACAGCAGTCGATGACGAGTTTGCCACAGTCAGTATTTGGCCTCTATGCACAAGTTTAGTGGGTAGTAACACAGCGACTCATGCTCCCATGTCCATGAGGAACGCGAGTTGACATAGCTTGTCCACCGGGTCGATTGCCCATTACTGTTCTAGTGGCCATAATGTGCCCACGTATGCATCTCTAGCCCACCATTATTGTAATGTTTTTTTGCAAACCCACGAATATGTACATATGCTTCCTCCATATATATCAACAAGGGGTGCGACAAGTAAGGCTTTTTCTATTACTGACAGCTCATTTTTGCCACAAAAAGCTGCTTAGTAATCCCAAAATGACAGATGATACTGGGGCCTATACTACTCAAATGTTCTCACACTAGCTTAATGTGATGTGACAGATTTTTTTATGGCATCAACTAGGGTCTATATAATTCTTTATTCATAAAAATTAATTGTATTTTGTCTTGACAGAGGCAAGTTTCAAGTACTTCAGTTAGCATGGCCAAATGAAAAAAAAAACGATATTTTTATATCTGAGACATTACAATTACGTGCCAGCACTGAAGTTTCAGAACAAAATTTTAAAAATAGAACATTGAAACAACATTTTGAGGATATAGTGTGTCACCATACTTTTCAACAGACATACCAGGTCGACCTTAATTAATATTAAAACTAGGATTACAAGATTACTTACAATATTAAAAATGTTAGCCTAACTTATCCATACATTAGATTAAAAGCATTTTCCAAAGCACATAAAATACAAGGTTGACCCAATATGCTGGGCAAAGAGAAGCCATGTACTGTCTAAAAAGACAACTGTTTCTGCTGCAACATAATCTCAATTCGTGTGTAAATGACACAAACTGCCGGCTAATCAATCAGAAAGCATGCATAGCTTTAGATCGCCTTTGCACTTTTGTTGTCCCTACGAATTTTATGTGCGCTCAAATATTCTACAGATTTTCTAAATTGAATTCCTATGCATCGGCTGACACATAATGAGTGCAGCTTTGTTGTCTTCAGATTTTAACTGGGAGCTTACAATTATACTGTACTTAAATAATATAACCATACTTCATAATTCAATGATGTGATTATGTGTTGCTATATAACAGCTATAATAATAATGTACAAGACAACACAACAGAAAATAGGAGCCGCACATAAACTCTGTTTACTCACCAATGGTCGCAACGTTGTTCTCCCCGTTTTATTCTTCCAAAAGCTCATTCAGCTAAAAGGAAAAATAACAGCACAGTATGACTGTTTCCAACTGAAAACAAGTATTCTTAATATTCAATGTGTACACTCACTGCACTGTATCGCTTGAATCAGTTCAAAGGAGCAACTCAGAAATTTGCAAATTTGGCATAAATTTAAAGAATTAAGTATTTTAAATAAAATCACTTTACTTTCTGTATACAGGTGCTTTCTTGATATGAACCAATCAGATCTTCTGTGACACAGCAGCCGCATTTGAGTGTAAAAGTTATAATGCAGGATTTGTTCACAGGTTTTGGAAAAGTAACCATCTAGTGCTCGAATTTGGTTAAAAAATACATATATATCTGCACGCTAATCCACGCAAACAGAGCTGACAGCGATAGTGGTGTCGAGCAAGACATCAGCACTTGTGCTTGAGTGTTCCTCAGTCATTTGGACTTCATTCACGGTGCCGTTTCATAGTTACACTAGTGATGAAAGAATAAATCACAGTTGCTGCCACTTCACAAGTGGGCCATTCCATCCCAAATGTCCCCGGCAGTGTTACCAGTTACGCTTATATTACACTCAAGCCTCATTATAACAAAGGTACATACACCTTAGATGAAAATAATATCGCTATATCTGAAAATTTGTCATTAAGGTATATTCTATCACTATAGCGATTACAACACTATTTTTCATTTACTTTGTTATAAATGATATTTCAAGTCAAGTCAAGTTTAATAAATAGTTCAGTTGAGTTACATGGTTAGCATTATTACAGCAGGAGGTCCCAAAGTTTCTGAGAAACTTACAGGGGGACCTCCTATGGCTACATGAATGGAATGATTACAAAAAATACAACGACAGTATACGGACTTGTGAGTAATAATGAATAAGCTTGATTAACAATAAAAATACGATCAATACGCAACATAATAGAAATACTCACTATTTAAAAATAACAAGGAAATAGTCAAAAGCAAGTGAAGACAAAAAACAATAATAATGAACTCTGCGTGACAAATGCAACACGTTTTATTATCAGTGTTATCAATTACACAAAGGCAAATTGAAGTAGTAAAATAGCACAGAAATGTGGAGAGCTATTAACAGTTATTTACACATATCGGATGAGTTGATTAATTCCTGAACGTAACATTTCTTGCTGCACGAAGTGAAAATATGGATGTTATGCGATGATTTCAATTCGAAAGGCAATGAATTCCAAATGGCTATGCTAGTAAATAAGGTTGAGAACTTGCCGTAGTTTGTCCTTACGGCCGGCATAAGAAGATTATTGCACTGGAAAAACCGGGTGATGTTACGATTAGTTAAGTGACGATGATCAATACATGCGATAAAAACGTCATGCGTGATGAGTCTAAAAGCGACAATGGACATTCTATGACAAAATATTTGTCTCAATGGGAGTATGTTAAGCTGAGGAAACAACGAGCTACAGGAGAAGTAAAATGGGATGAAAGTCATTATATCCAGATTCATTATATCGAGCTATGAGTGCAAAGAGATTAGGGCTTATTTTTTTTCTCCCAAGTCGCCTGCCATGTTTTTAAATTTTTTTAAAGGGTCACTCACCAGGCCCCATACGAAATTTTAGTGAGACAGTGGGTTTCCAAATAGGAAAATTTTGTCACAAAGTAGCTAACGTGGTTGCTTGGGCGAGTTGGTACGACATGATTCACTTAAAAAACACAGCGCCAATAACGAGGGACAAGAGAAAGGAGAAGACAGACAGCGGCACTGACTTACAACAAGATTTATTTGCTAGAACCGCACAATATATACTTGGGCAGCATCTGACAAAAAAAGAGAAAAATACAAAACAAACAAAACAGAATTCACCTAACAACCCCGTAGTCATCTCCACAACGCACCATGAACAACACGTGTGCTAACGTTCCGAAAGAAATCTATTTCTTTTAGTGATAGCGCAATCGAAGGCCTGCTGACACATGCACTGCCCAGCCTTTCTATTTCTGAAGCCTCGTAAATTTCACGTATCATCTGGTCCCGATGACGCCTAATGACGGTACAAAGCTGAAAATCAGGGACACAACCACAGTCTCGGCAATGAATGCCGAGATGGCCCGAAACTGTAGAGGAGACGTTGTGAGCGTGCTCTTTCAGGCGCTCATCTAAACACTTGCCTGTTTGGCCGATGTACCACTTGCCGCAGGACAGGGGTAGGGAGTACACTACCCCTTCAATGCATGCAACGTACTTCTTCCGATGTTTGATTTTGCAGCCTCGCTCACCCCTCGAACCGGGATTCACGGCCCTGCACAACCTAGCCAGTTTTTCTGGGGCAGAAAAAACCAGGTCTACGTCGCACCTGCTGGCCACTTTTTTGAGATTGTGGGTGACGCCGTGGATATAGGGAATAACGACGAAGTTTCGTTTCTCCCGTCCCTTATCCTTTGTACGCGTTTGAGCATTATTTTTTGGGCTCGTTCTTATTTCTCGGAGTAGACACTCAGCCACGGCGGTCAAAATGTACATCGGGAAACCAGCTTCTGTAAGGCGTTTAGTTTGCTGATTAAAGCTGGACTGAATTGTGTGATAGCAGGACTTTCGCAGAGCGTTTGTGTAGCTAGTCTTAGCAATAGCGCGCTTCACCACTTTCGAATGTGCTGAACCGAAGGGGAGGATCGGCTTGTTAGCGAGTGGCTCATAGGCCCAACACACGTGGGAAGGACTCAATGTTAACATCAAATCTAGGAACCTGATGGCTCCTCTGTCTGGAACTTCATGTGTTATAACAAGCGGAGAACGGCACTTACTGAAAATTTCTAAAATACTAGTCAAAGGCGAACCGTCCGACGAGGTTCCAGCTTGAAACAACACAAGGAAATCGTCAACATAGCGGAATACTCTCTTAACAGATGTGGATCCCAAGCAATTCTGAATGGCACGATCACGGCTGGCTAAAAGTAAATCACTCAAAATTGGCGCAAGGCATGATCCTATGCACACCCCTTGACGTTGCAAGTAAATATGATCGTCCCACTCTGCAAATGTCGACCTCAGGTAATACTCTAGCAGTTCCATAAAACCTTCAACAGATATGCCTATTGCATTCTGATAATTCACAACGCCAAAACTGTCAATGCACCCGCGAATGCAAGCTAGAAGCTCACTGTGTGGCAATGAGTAGCACAGATCTTTAATATCTATTGAGCATGCCTGGTAGCCATAAAATTTGTTATCTTTCAGCACGGAAATCACATCATCGAAACTTTTAGCTAGGAATGGATCGTCTATGCTTAATAACATCAGTTTACCCTGAAGAAATTGGCGGTTTCAGACCTTCGCAGGGACACGGTCTTCGGCTCCTCAAGGTCCTTAGTTCTGAGTGGCACCGACAAGCTCGTTTCTACAAGCAGTGTTTGTTTCTCTCGCTCCAAGGGACTACAAACTACAATAGAGGCAAGAAGTGGCTCGATCACCGTGACCTAGCTAATGCGGCGGCGGAATTTCGTTGGCGGCAGATGCTGACTGAACTACGAGTTTCGCTGCCAAAAAAGCTCTCCCTGAGCAAGAAAGGACTGCATTCTCTGGGGAATGTGTCTGTGTCTCAGAACATACGCAGTGTCCTTAGCCGCAGCCCCAAGTATGCTGTTGAACCAAGAAGGTCAAGGGCAGAACTTCTGGGCCTGGTCCGCAGCATTTCTAGGAAGGTACCTGCTGACTGTGCCGAGAGGTGTGTTTCTGAGGGTTGTGACATTCTTTCTAACCATAGAGCAGGCTTGACCAGGGTTCCTGTAAAAAAGGTAGAATCCTTCCTGAAGGATAAGTTATTGTCCTTGGTAGCAGTAGATAAGGAGGGAGGTTTTGTTATTATTCCGAATGAAATATATAAGAAAAAAGCAGGTGAAGCGCTTTTGTCTGTTTTTCAGCCCCAAGCTAATGTGTCGCTTCCGAAGGTAAAACCTATGCAAAAAGTCTCTGTAAAAGATTGAATCTTGATGGTTTGGCAAAAAAGATGGATGGCGAAAAAAACCTTAGCATGGAAATTTTCTTTAACGCGAAAACGCACAAAGCTAACTGTCTTTTCCGTGTTATAGTATCAGAGGCCAACTCGCGGCAAAAAATACTGGCACAATTTCTTCAGGGTAAGCTGATGTTATTAAGCATAGACGATCCATTCCTAGCTAAAAGTTCCGATGATGTGATTTCCGTGCTGAAAGATAACAAACTTTATGGCTACCAGGCATGCTGAATAGATATTAAAGATCTGTACTACTCATTACCACACAGTGAGCTTCTAGCTTGCATTCGCGGGTGCATTGACAGTTTTGGCATTGTGATTTATCAGAATGCAGTAGGCATATCTGTTGAAGGTTTTATGGAACTGCTAGAGTATTACCTGAGGTCGAAATTTGCAGAGTGGGACGATCATATTTACTTGCAACGTCAAGGGGTGTGCATAGGACCATGCCTTGCACCCATTTTGAGTGATTTACTTTTAGCCAGCCGTGATCGTGCCATTCAGAATCGCTTGGGATCCACATCTGTTAAGAGAGTATTCCGCTATGTTGACAATTTCCTTGTGTTGTTTCAAGCTGGAACCTCGTCGGACGGTTCGCCTTTGACTAGTATTTTAGAAATTTTCAGTAAGTGCCTTTCTCCGCTTGTTATAACACATGAAGTTCCGGACAGAGGAGCCATCAGGTTCCTAGATTTGATGTTAACATTGAGTCCTTCCCACGTGTGTTGGGCCTATGAGCCACTCGCTAACAAGCCGATCCTCCCCTTCGGTTCAGCACATTCGAAAGTGGTGAAGCACGCTATTGCCAAGACTAGCTACACAAAAGCTCTGCGAAAGTCCTGCTATCACACAATTCAGTCCAGCTTTAATCAGCAAACTAAACGCCTTACAGAAGCTGGTTTCCCGATGTACATTTTGACCGCCGTGGCTGAGTGTCTACTCCGAGAAATAAGAACGAGCCCAGAAAATAATGCTCAAACCCGTACAAAGGATAAGGGACGGGATAAACGA